TTTCTCTTTTTCCTACTATCGACTTGATCGTTCGAGGAAACTTGTGAGACAAATGTATATAAGTTGCATTTTGACCAAAACTAGATTTTGTTTGTTGCACGATTTCTGAATCTGTTTTCAAATGTACATACGCGTGTGTTTCCTCTTCTTTCAATTATAGCTAAAAATCTGGTTTCTGTCTCTCCCATCTCCTCTTGCATTATCAAGCCCTACTCCGAATTAGAATCCAATTTCCTGCCTCCCTCGCTTTCACTCTGCTACAGCTCGCAAATCCCCAAAAAACCATCATCCCTTTCTCAAAACTCGTTACATCCCTAACGCCGAAAACGTCAAAGCGAATTGGCTAGAAATTCCGCAGTCAGAAGCACCAGATACTTCCACATTTTCAATAACCAGTTTCATACTACTGTAAATATTCCTAATTCTAATTACAGCATTTTCGTTTGCTACTAGTGCACGCCGAAAATCTATCGCAGCTTGAATCCAACGATTTGCTCAAAATTTCTCCATTAACACCGTCCCCTCGACCACTCAGGTTGGCTCGCAACCAACCTACCCTGCCTGTTTCACCCTTACAACTCCTCAAACACTAAAGCGTCGGAATCCAGACCCGGACACCTCGTCGTATAGGAGCGAGGTGTTACCAGGCTGCTCGCGAGTAACCTCAGAATTCCAGGTATCCAAAAGAGGTACGGGTAACGGAGGAACGTGCGGCTCGAAGAAAGAGAACTCCCGAGAGGGCAGCCAAGAAGGAGAGGCTCTGATCCAACGTGGGGCAATTGGACGCGGGCCAGGCAGACGGCACGGAACGGGACGGGACGGGACGGGACAGGACGGGCGTAAGTGTACACGCGGCCGTGATTGCGCGAGGAGAATGTAATTAGTGACGGGACGTTGCCGCGCCGGCACGATCCCTACCCGCGGCTAGCCTCCACGATATCCGGGACAAACTCGGCGGGAATCTATGGACCCCGGGACGGAGAGCTGTTTGCGGAACGTTTCCGTGCGATTATGCGCGCCTCGGCCGCGAGTAACCTGTTCCGCGTTAAGAGCGAGAGAGATAAACAGCTCGGTCAGAAGAGTAGCTACCGTTTCCCGCAATTCGAATTCTCTCACGTCTTCCTATCTTCCTAGAAAATTAAAGAACCAGGGAAACGTTTCTGATTTTCGTTCACGTTATTTTTGTCATTTTAAAATTATAGAAAGATACGTCAGCGAGTAAACTGTGAGACGTGAAGAGAAATTGGGATATTTTAATTCCAGCTCTCTAATGAAAATTTGTTTTTGTCACAGTGAAACTATCGTCATCGCTTAAAGAGGATCGATCGAAGACGATTGTCATAGAAGGAAGACGATATTTGATTTACAGGGTAAGTGTTTCAAATTATTCATGATCATTAAATAGAAACCGGTGTAATTTGATAAATCCATGAACCGTACGTCAGCAAACTAGCCCCACAGGCAAAGTCTCGAATATGAGGAGGTCTGAAGGTTCGGCCTAGTCTTTTAATAGCCTCGTTTAGTGTTTCCTGGCCCACAATGGGCACACCCTAAATAAAGTATTAGGATCCTTAAAGCTGGCAGGTAACTAGTCCCTAAGGGACAGAGTGCGCGTCCTTTACGGATTTTCTCTTTGTACCTGTGATGCGCAAGGTGTCGAAGGGTCTCACGTTTAGGCAGTTAAATGATGACAGGGAACATCCATAATCAGCTAAAGCTACGCGTGCTACTTCATTAATTTATTCTTGTGCTTTAACACACGTCAATTTGCTTTTATCAAGTTTTTTAATGAAATCGTTAACTATCGCGAAATTTTAAATGACAATCATTACGCATTTACTCGGTAATTAATACGTATCGAGATTCGTATCAAAGTTTTGGAATAATCTTCTTAACTATTGTCTCGAAGGGCATAAGTCGATCAATCTAATTCCGCAAAAGCACCATCAATCTCTCTCTAGTAATCGTACATCTCCCACCACCTCCGAAAACCGCAATCGATCTCAGGATCGCTCAGTCACCCGAGCGTACCCCGGAATTAACCCCGAAAAACGTTGTCGCGCGCGTCAAAGCCTCCCTGATTGGTAGTCTCGATGGCGACGGGTTGATTGGTATCATTGTAGAGGGAGGGGAGCATTTTATGCAGCGGCCCGTGCACCGCGACTCGAACTTGAATACCGAATCAGCCGGCCAAAAGAGAGAGGGACAAAGATGCGAGGCGATCGAACGAAGAGGGACCAAGATCCGAAGGGGAGACAAGGAGAGTTTACCGGTTTCGTGGCTACGTAGCCCCGGTAACAGTAGAACGAACGCTCTCGCTCCACCCCTCCGTCGGCGTTTTAATAATCCCCGGGCTCCCTTCGGACAAGGATGCGGCGCAGCTGGACCCCTTTTTGCCTCGTGCCCGGTGTTAAGGGGGTACCGCCCTCCCACTGCGTTCATCTTCTCGTCCCCCGCACGGTTCTCTCTCTCTCTCTCTCTCTCTTATCCTTGTGGGCCGCTTTCATAGGCGACAATCACGCCGTAACCCGAAACGAATGCGTTCGTTCGCCAGGCGGTACGAGATGCGGGCCAGAAGTTTTACATGACACGTGCGGCAGAAACATTTTAAGAAGAAGGTTTTGCAGAATTACTCTAATTAGATCTTCAAAGATGTTTCGGCGTGTTCCACGAACTGGGCCCCGTGTTTTGCCTTTGTGCCCAGGTATTCTCCCCCTGCCCCGCCGTCTTCTTTTCCTCGCCGTGTTCTTTCTTTGCCCGGATTACGATGTTCCTTCTCCGTCGCGCGGCTCGTTTCGCTCCGCTCCGTCTCGCTTTCACCGGTCGAACGCAAAGTCACCCTCGAAGTCTGTCGTTCCCAGCACGAAAGAGACGGGTGGAGATTAAGGCAACTTCGGAGACTACGCCCGCGGGTCTGTGTGCGCTGAATACTTGCGAGGAATAGCTGAGACCGACTTGCCCCCGATCGGAACCAAGTTTCCGCGCGCTTTCGCGCTCCCTGACCGATCGTCTCGCTTCCTGCCGGTCCGGTCGGCTCCTCCAGCGGCCAACAGCCTTCGCTCGTTTCTCTTATCTCCTCCGACGATCAGGAGAGAGCCAAGTTCCCTCCTGGTTCCGGAGAATCATGCTGGTGCGGTAAATAGTAATGATAATGAGGAGATTGTGAAATAAGAAAGCTAACCGAGTTCGTCTTTTTCTGCGATTAAAGTGCCGATTAACAATCGTTTCTAAAAATTCTTTTGCGACGTTCACAGACTTATATTCTACAGAGGAATTTCTTACACAATTAGCAATTAAGTTCACGCGCGTTGGGAGATGGACACCAAAGAAATAATTTATAGCGTCAAGAGAGCTCGCCGTTAGTTCCGCGTTCGAGCGATTCGCAAAGCGAAAATCATACTAATTCTGTTTGCGATCACAACCAGCAGTGACTGGCTATTGCCCTCTGAAGGGCTAGCCAATTAGCAGCGACGAAGATGCTACATAAATCTCCTTAGACGAAACCGCAAGCGCCCGTTACAAACGGAAATCGTTTTTAGACCAACTAGCAACGTTTGCAACCTCCAGTTCGTCATTGACTACGATTCTATTGAAAGATGATACAACGTAGAAGAATTGTTTCTAGTCGGTTTTCGTTGTATCAGTGATCGGTTCGAAGTTGAGAATTCTCCACGCGAGTGGTAAAACGTGATCTCCGGCGACGTTAGCCGGGCAAGGAGGGGAAGGTAGAGATATTTTGGTGGCGCGTATCGAGAAATTTACAAGCAGCGGGCAATACGGGACGAATCGAAGCGGGACCGCACTGCTTCGCTCCTTTTCCCGACGTTTTGGTTTCCTGGGAATCTCTGGAACCGATTCGCGCCATTATCGTGAAATCCAATTTCTCTGGAAGCAATTTCCACCTCGGCTGCCGGGGTTTCCCGAAACTCATCCCGGTGCCGGCTCGTGAGCGGCGAAAAATTCGTGAACAAGGAGGGCGACGGGAGTCGTCGTGCCGTCGTGTTGCACACACACCCGTTACATCCCCGCGGTCACGTTTCGTTTTATCTCTCTCGTCCCGCCTGGTTCTCGCTCGAAAACTGTTTTTTTTCTCCGTTCCTCTCGCCCCGCCGCCCGCCCCACCGTCGTGCTTTCGAGCCTCCAGCACGTTCGTCGGTGTCTGAAAAGCTCCGGTAGGCAGGCGGACCTACGATATGCTACCGCTCGAGTGTGGGCGAGCGCGCGCGCGCTCGAGAGGACGGAGAACGCGGATCGGAGCGGGACGGCGAGCAAACGAAGAGGACGGGCCGACGAGGAACGACCGACGGTCGGACAGAGACGGCGGCGCACGGCGAGCGACGGAGAGGCGCCGAGGAGCGGCGAGGACGGGGCGACAAAGAGAAGCCGACGCTCAAGAGCACGAGGGAGCGGTGTGCATGGTCAGAGAGAGACAGCGAGGGTGGCGTGGACGAGGATGGAAGGGGCGAGAATCCGAGACAAGGATAAGAAGCGAGGAGAAAAAGAGAGGCGGGATTGTGCGCGCTTGCGGAAGAGAGCATCGGCTGAAGCGTGAGGAAAGGGGAGGAGGGCGACGACGACGAGGAGATCGGGGGTGAGAAGCTGGCGGAGAGGCGAAGGGAGTAACGGCACGGAACGGAGCGTCGGAGAACGAGGGAACAGAAGAGAGGAGAAAGAGAGAAGCGCCCCGAAAGACGAGTCGCCCGAGCGAGAGGAGGACGGAACTCGGCGGCGACGGAGACGGCCAAGTCGTACCAAGGGTGGTGCGAGGGAGACGGAATCGAACTGCGAGGGCAGGCGATGCCGTTGGCGTAGTAACGTGCCTTGCCTTGCTCGCCCGCCTGCCTGCCTGCCTGCATGCCTGCCTGCCAGTCTGCCTGCCTGCCTGCCTTGCCTGCCTTGCCTGCCTTGGTCGCCTTGCCTGCCTGCTCGGTTGCCTGACTCACCGTTCGTACGAGAGCACGGCTGTGTGGCGGACTGGCGGACTCTGCGTGGCGCGTCTGTCGGCCCGTTCTCTCTCTTTTTCTCCCGTCTCTCTTTCGCCCTGGCACGAGGGGCGACCGACCGAACGAACGAACGAACCAACGAACGAACGAACGGTTCCCGTATAGGTGGACGGGGGTCCCGGCTCGGCTCTCGGCCCGTCCCGTCCCGTGGAGTATCGCACCGCTCGCCACCCGCTATCCAAAGCAGTTTCAGCCAGCCGCCCGCCTGCCAGTGTCCCACCGCACGCCGAACCGTTTGCACTCAGAAGCGATCAGGGAGCCCTTCTCTCCCTCGACTTCCCCCTTCGACAGAGAGAACCCGCGTGCGCGCGCTCTTCCACCCCGGCGAGCGCGTACGCCGCCTCTATATCCGTTTCTCGTTCTTCCTCGCTCCTTCGCACCCTCGCAACGTCTCTCACCGCTCCTCTTCTTTGTTCCTCCCGGCGGGACGGTCGCCTCCACGTTCCGTCTGCCGCTCGTCTTCTTTTTCTCCCACCGTCGTCGGTTTCCTCCCTGGTTTCCTTCGTCTCCTGCCTGTTCTCCGGCTCTTCTTTCTCGTCTCTTCTCGCCGTCAGTCACACTCGGAACGCACGAGCGCCGGCTCTCGTTCCCTCTTCCTCCCACCGCGCGCCTCTATCCAGCCGACGTTCGGCGTGTTTAACCTCCCGCCGTTCCGCCACACGCCCCCACCACAGCTGGTCTCGGCTTCTGTCTCCGTTGGGAAACCGACCGTCCCATTCGTTCCGTCTCGTTCACGCGACTCCTATCGCGTTCCGCGCGCATACCCGCTCACTCGCCCTCTCTCTCGCTCCCGGAGTAGCGCCGGTGTGTACTTCCGCTGTCACCTGATCGCGGGACGCTTTTCGCGGGTGAGATACCGCTCGGCCACCGAGTCAACCGAGTCTGCCGCCGACGTTGCTCGGTTTTCCTCCGCGCACCCCCCCGTCTCGTACTCTCCTCCTTCCTCCTCGGCGGGACGCTCGCGTCTCGCAACGTGTCTGTTCCCTCCTTCCTATACTACTTACTCGTCTCGCGCTCGTTACCGCGCGACGTCGAACGTGCGGCTAAAAGAAAAATAAGGGTTGGAAAACCGAAAAGGAAAAAGAGCCAAGGAGCCGGTGGGAAGAAAGAGAGGCCCCGGGAAAGAGAGAGAGAGAGACAATCGTCCAACCGCGACTGGATCTCTCGCCTCTTCCTCCTTTCACGGATCTTCGCCGGTGCACACGTCTGAAGCCGACCGACTGGAGAGGGAGGTGACACTTTCGGAACGTGGACACGCGGCACGCACGGATCGTCACGGTGGATACTACTCGAGGAGCCACGGGAACTCGCTACCGTGCTCTCGTGCAGGTCGGTGATACGGTGTGTCGTGCGAGTCAAGTGCTTCGCCTCTACTTTTTCTTTTTTACGCTCCCAGTCTTTGCTACCCGCATTTTCGTTCTCATTTTTTCTTTGCGTTTTCGCGCGAGTGACACGTCGGCCAATCGAGGATTAGAGCAAGTGAGTGCGTACACAAATTCTTTCTACGCTACGGCGATGATTCGCGGCTCGGGTATTCGAAAAGACGGCGGTAATCGCGCCTGCGAGTCTTTCCTTTTTTTGCGCCGTGTTTTACGGCTCGTTAAAGCTCACGGAATCGTCGCGCCGCGACATTCCCCTCTATGAATATGGAGATGAACGGACGGCCGTCGATCCCTCGCCTCCTTCCCCTCGGCTTTCTTTTCGCACGCGACCACCGCGCGTCTCGCCGTGACGAACGTCACGCGAACGACGTCGACGACTCGGCCCGGGCCGGTTGCCATGCTCGCCGTTTTCCGTCCTCGAAAAAGTGTCACGAGGAAAGTGATCCAACGCGTCGCTGACGGCCGCGTGCTCTGTTTCGAGCGCGTTACGCTTTCACGGGTAGAGCAGTCTCGAGTCAGCCGATTTTGGACGCGATCATTTATATTAAATCTGCGATACTCGTCAATGGCAGCAGTGTCGACGTGTTGCATAGTGATCCATTCATCGGAATCGATGAGATTACTCTGTGTTGTAATTACTGTGATCCTTTTCGTGTGAATCTGTGAAACGGTCTTCCTAAAACCGCAAACGTTTTCTCGAGTAAATTGTGCAAAGATTCCTTTGGTACGTGGTGGAAAAGGTAACAAAAAGAAGAGAATAAAGCGTATGGAGAAATCAAAAGGTTTCTAACAGAAGGCAGCTTTTGAGAATTGCTTGTTTCCTCGCGGGTTACCGCTTAGAGAGGAAACAAGCGTCTAAATTAAAAACTTTGAGACGCGTGTCATTTCGTAGGAAATCAGTGAAAGGTTAAGAAAGAAGAAGGTGGAAAAATCGCGTGCGTGGAAGGAGAAGAATTGAAAAAGTTGGGAATCGCGTCGCGGAGGAGGGCAGGAAGCGTGGGAGGAGTGAGGGCAGGGTGAAGAGGGTGGGAGAAAACGCCGGGAGTCGCGGCAGCGTGTCGGAGGAGATAGCGGCATCCGTTTCGGTTGCGGGACGGTCGCCACACCCGCCCGTTTGGGAATTCAGCTTACTGCCGCTCGGGACACCAAGCCGAACCGTTCGACGCGACGCGCTTCTCTCCTCCGCGGTTCACCGTGCATGTAACGGGAGGGCAGTACATATCACGAGAGGTGGCTGTTCGCGGCGCGTATTAGATCCCGACCGACCGCGACCGGCGCAGAAATTGCCTGCCCACGGTCTCTCGGTTTTCTGCGCCGCTTCGTTTCAGACATTCGAACCACCGCGGGGCGCGTGAGACACACCGGTGAAAACGTGACGGCGGCGAGGGAAACGAATTCGTACCAGAAACAAGTGTTCTTGTGAATGACAGCTGAGGATCTGTAAACAAAGTTTCAAACACGTCGACACTGTGCCATTGTGATTGATTAAAAATAGTGTTTGTGATCGTCCAAAATCGGCGGACCGATCGATGATCATTGGTGATCAGCGATCCGTTGGTAGTAATTGAGAAAATCGAGGAAGAAGGAGAAGCGGATTTTGGAAACTGTTAAATCAGGTGTTCTCTTCTCTGGTAAGGTGTTTTAGCCGTTGTTCAGCTCTCTATTTACGATTTTTCGCAGTTCGATTTTCATTCGCTTCCATGACTTCGGAAAAAGAACTATTTAATATTGTACAGAATTTAATACCGGAAAAATCAATAATTGAGCACTAATTCAATTTTGTAGTATTGGTTAATGGATTAAATAAAAGAAAATTGTTCGGAATGATCTTTTATTAAAACAGGTCGGAATGACGTCTGTACTAAAAAAAATCCGCACCCGGAGTGAGGAAGAGTCTAGCGTTCTTCAAAAAGTTTTCGGGCATTGTCAGAGCAAACCGAGCCCTACCGAGCACATTATTTATGGCCCAGGCCTCCAGTAATAAACAGTCATAGTCTACTGATTGGCATAATAGCCTCGTGTTATAAATACGCTATAAATAATCCAACACGTAGAAATCGCGACACATCCGTTAATTAAGAAAGCGCGATACCTTTGATTAAACGAGAAAATGTCGCGGAGAAATTCTTTGGAATTGCGCCGGGAACTCTCTCGTGCAGAAAATAAAACGCGAAAATATGAAACGTCGAATCGAGTCGCGGAAAAATTCCGATCAAGCCAGGAAAAATATCAAAGCGTGGCGCAAAAGTGTGTCCTCGCCGAGTTGTCGAGTCGAGGTCTCGAAAGTTTCCTGACGCATGGATACGCTCGGCTATTCCGAGCCCGGCTCTCGAATATCCGTAACCTACCCCTTACCGTGCCAGACCCCCCTTCCCCGCCCCGTCGGCACTCTCGGCCCCGAGGTAGGAACCCAACAAAAATTTCCCGGCCCGATCCCGTCGCCACGGTGAAGTTTTCCGGAAGCCGCACACCTCTGCCCGAACACGGATCTCTCGCACCCTTCGATCAATAGTCTAGGTAAACACGTTTCACGCCGCTCGGAAACTGCCAAAAGTGCAACACACATCGGGGACACAGGCCGGGATTGCCCTTTTCCACTCTTAACTTTCCCGGCCTACCCATTTCCATTGAAAGACAGGTAGACGATTTTTCCCAGGCCCGTTCGAGCAACGGATCCCTCGGTCGAGCCAAAACTGAATCGCGTACGAGACTGCGCTAATCCAGATATTACTGGAGAAAAAAATTTTTTTCTATGAACGCATAAAATTCGCGATCTACTATTAGTAGGAGAGAAACGACAAGACGTGTACCGATGGCCGAGAGGACGATGCGACAGAAAAGATATCAGCTGCGTTGCGAAAGCGATGTTTGGAAAGGAAGGGTCGCGCCCGACCAAAAGCGGCGCGTTACTACTTACTACTCGCGTGCGTATTATATACGTACGTGCGTGGTTGCGTGCGCGGCTCGTGTACGGATGGCCGCGGGCCACGTCGGAGTAGGTGTATACGTACGCGGTAATACAGTGGCCATGCGAGCTTGATTACACATTGCGATCACGAGTGTTCCACGAGCGGGCGGACATAAGGCCTTTTGTCACACCATGGCCTGCGGGCAGGAAGCACGTAGCGTGACACCGGGCCGCCTCGCCGCGGCGTGCAAGCGGCACCCACATTATACGCCGCGCGTAATATGTATATGACGTCGCGTCGGTGAAGAGAAGGTCGGGACGGGTAGAGGGAGGGTCGGCTAAAGTGGGATGGGCGGAGGGCGAGGGCGGCGGGTGTTCAGGGCAGAGGACGCGCCATAATACTCGGTGGTCCCATGCCGGTACGTGACTTGTATGCCGCTTTAAGCCGCGCCGGGCAGAGAGGAGAACGCGAGGAGGACCTGGTTTCTGCCACCTAAAGGAGCGCGCGCGGCTGCTATTGCGCCCGGGTTATTGGATCCGGTATCGGTCGACCGCGAGTTTCGACCACGGTAATCGATTGCGCCCGCTTGCCTCTCTCTTTCCTCTCTCTCTCTCTCTCTGTCTCTCTCTCTTTCGAGCTTTCACACGTGAGGTCGCAGCACGCTGCCAAATCGTCGAGGGTCTCCGCTTAACGGCCCGCCTCGTGGAAAATCGGGACGCGTTTGCCTCGCGAGATTTTCAAACAGGATGAATTATTTAGGATCCAGAGTGGCAGGCATTTTGAGAATTTTCAAGAGACTTTCTTCGAACGAGCCCGAGAGTCTTAACTATTTTTATTTACGAGAAATTCTGATAACAGCTCGATCAGATTGAATGAGAGATAATTTTAGAATCAATTAATGATTCGGTTCTGAGATATCGTTTCGAAGCATAGACGCGTGTCGCGATGAATGAATTTAAGATCGGATTCTTACTGGAATAAGAATAGAAGCCACAGCGATTCGAGGAATAATCGAAAACACCTTTGGAATCGACGGGTTGCAGCTGCGAAGCTAAATTGTCGTCGGATCACGTTCAAACGGAACTAGGACAGGTCGTGGAAAATCAGGACGCATCGCGTCCTTCGGTGTAGGATTCAAGAAAACTGACGCGAGTTTTTAACAAAAGAACGTCACTAAAAATATGATCCGTGAAATTGAAGATCGAGTGGCACGAGAGGAATCTCTAGTAACCGTAACACGACAAGGGATCGTACAAAGTTTCTGTAACGACGAATGGCAGTCGAAGGGACATGCACTTACGTTTTAGATTTGCATTGACGAAAAGAAAAGTTACGTGGAACCCAGGCGTGGAAAGCCGTTAGGTAGGAACTTGTTGCGTTCTGAGAAAAATCGTTACGAGGCGGTCGCATGGCGAACAATCGGTGAAAATCGGCGCTGGCGGTGCGGTGGTACGCACAGAAGCCTGGTTTCGCGTGAAAGGTGACGTGACGCCGTCAATTTTCTCGTTCGCGCGATTAACGTCCTCGGCGTGTCGGCATCGGTCCGCTCTAATTTTACCCGTGTACACCGCATTCTTAGGCAGTACGCGTTTCCCGGTTGAATTCCGTGCCACGCGAGCCGATCTCAAGGATCTGGTTTTTCCGAGACGATCAGAAGTATCCGATCACCGAGGAGACATCCGCGTGTCAAGGCTCGCCGTTCTTCTTAATTCATGCCCCTTCCACCGACAGTGACCCTGGCAAGAATAGTCATTTGTTCCAATCGATAGTTTCATTTAAAAACTACCCTTTTTGTCTACAAAATCCTTCAGCCTCGCAGTTTCTCAGATTCAGATCGATTCGATTATTTCATTAGACAGACTACTAGCGATATTCAATATTTGGGGAATCAGAAGACTGTATAGAATCATCTTCTGTGTGTTAAATTCTCTTATCTGGACGTGCTATTGTTCGATCCAGGCTATCGCTGTAGTGCGCAATCCGCTTTATCGAGTTAGTGCTCGCCTTGACGATTATCTGATACGCTCTATATCTACGAACGTCCTGTTCGTCACGCCGTCGCATGGCCCTCGATAATTACCGGAATAAAGTCTCACTCGATTAGGCCAAGTTTCTCGATCTCGTTCCCAAGATTCGAGAAACAATTTTTCAATAACGTTATCATATCAGGGATAAGAAAATTTCACTCGGGACGATTTCATCCAGCGAAGAAGGTCTCATCTCGATTATGGCCGAGGGGTTATCTGAGATAGGGAATAACGAAGGGTGAACGGTCAACGAGGGGTTGAAAATTGGATTCCGTACCAAAATAAAAACTCATTAGCGACCCTGCAGAATCGAATGAAATATACTTGGAAAATTTAAGGATGTATTGGCTATACAGTCAATCCCAACAGTTTATGCACTTTAGAAACGCATTTTTTAAAAAGAAATCAGACGTCGGAAGAACATTGCTAATAATAAACAACAAAAAAAAATTTTCGATTTTTCCGAGATTTTTCCAAGGGGTACCCCTTCAATTTTTTCCAAATTTTCGTTTTTGGCCAATAACTCCCAAACCGTTGGACATACGGAAAAATTGCATCAGACCTTTCTTGTAGAGGACGACGAGATCTACAATTTCCATGTAAAAATTTTTCGCTGGCGTCAATAGTTAACGAGTAATTTGCAAAAAACTGTTTTTTCGTTTTTCGTCTATAACTCGTTAAATATTAATGCTAGCGAAAAAGTTTTGTATGGAAATTGTAGATCTCGCCATCCTCTACAAAAAAGGTCCTATACAATTTTCTCGTAAGTCTAATAGTTTCGGAGTAATTAAGGAAAAACGAATTTTTTTGCCAAAAGTTCGCGGTTTCGACGCTGGGATGGTCTGATTTTGTCAACATCAATAAAATGCCAAATAATCATACGTAACTCGTTAAATATCGAAGTTAGAAGGAAAACAACTTTTATTTGAAGCATTTTTTGCAATTTTGAATTGTTCCTAACAAATGACGGAGTCCCGATTCTTCGAAATCGGCACGCGCCCAGCCACTTTCTCAATGACGCTCCAACATGGCTAGGCAGTGACGGCACGCGAAGGAAGTCGGCGGCTGGTTAAATAACCGGTTTCCTAATTCGCTGCGCGCTGTCCGAGTCGCGCTCGCATCTAATTGCATACCATCTATGTCGCGCCGACGTTCTAACACCTGTCTTACGAAAATCCATTAACGCGCATCCACGGGCCCTTAACTACTCAAAATGATACGGACGGGAGATCAGTCGTACTCATTTCTCATATCATTAATCCGTTTCCTTCCAAGATAATTCGATAAATGTTTTGACATGATTTAACGTCTACGTGTCCGAGGCTTTAATTCAGTTGGAAAACCGATATTTTTTAAGATCGTCTTCTTTGAATTTTTTCGACGTCGACTAATTTGCATGAAACCGCGTTCCTCCGTCGTTTTCCGCGCGACGGAAGCGTCGCGGCTCGTTACGCCGGAACGATGAATCGCCGGCTCCTATATTGATTTCGTCGAGCGTCGGTTCGTTTAAAGCGTCGACAGTTATTCGTTTTTTTTTTTATTTTTTTTTTGTTGCGTCCTCGCTCGAGTGTAACACTGCAGGATATATCATTCCCTCGATGACTGCGGAACGTAATGATTGTCAGAGGCGTCAAAATGAACATACACAAAGTTTCGAACATTTGTGGGACCAGATAGAAATTTTCATTAGTAAGAGAATAAACGGAACTAGTTTTTACTGTGTTAGAAGACAATGGTCACACGTCGTGGTCTTTCTTTCTTCGCCCGTTAATCCTGACGGACGCCCAGTCCTTTGTCAGTCTTCCTTCGAAGAAGAGGCTTACGACGCGACGACAACCCGTCGAAGTTTATTATGACAATAGGTTGCGAAATTCGATAGGCCGGTGAAAGAAATCTGTAGGGAAGCGCGTAATTGGTTAAACTACAATTTTCCACCGCGGCCAGGGTTGAGCAACGCTTGTCCCAGCCTGAGGTTAATTTCGCGCGAAAAGAATTTGCAACAGCGGTGAGAGAAAGGCGCCTCGCGACTGGGAAACCAATTTCGTATGCGAATTTCAGCTTGCATTATCCTTGCACTCCGCGCCTCGGTTCATTAGCGGGCCCAACCTCGTTTAAACGTTTCCGTCGCTTAATCGCGCGTAACTGATCCAACTTGTCGCGCGTGCATCCCCCTTGGCGAGTCTTAACACGTTGCAAAATCGCAAGCACGAAGTTTTCGATCGAATATAACGAACTATACGTCATGATCGAGTATTTAATGAAAAAATTTCAGTGCCGATGAGAATGAGATTTTTAGACGATGAACGGTCGTCTTGAAACTTATTTTTCTCGTTGCAGGCAACCCGGAAACGAGGACGGCAACGAGTGGACGTGGATATACAGCGGGCAGAGGCACGGCCCTCGTATCTATCGGCTTTTGTGTGTGTGCTCCGTCTGTCGACGCGTGTACCATCGTCCGGACGATAATGCCGGTGGTTGACGGTTTCGGTGATCGACGACGACGCGGCCGGTGAACTAGTGACAGTGTGAAATCGATCGTCAGCAGGGCAGGCAAACCGCACTAAATATACCCGGGAATAATGGCCAGCGCGACAATGGGTCTCCGTCGCAGAGTGCCGGTGAACAATTCGCCGACCCCGTCGCACCAGTCCGCCTCGCACTCCAGCAAGCGTTCAAGGTCCGAGAACAACAACAGCCCGTCCCATGGTAATCTGAATTCGATGAACGGGACGCGGGACGAACCGCCGACCAAGAAGTCCCGTGGAACGTCGACGAACGCCAGCAAGAACTCGCCGGAGACGAGCCCGTCGTCCAAGAGCCGAGGGTCTAACTCGAGGTCGGCGAATCAAACGAAGACGTCGACGCCGACCACGGATACGTCTTCCAGCAACGGACTGTCCAACAGCTGGCAGGCCTCCACGAACATGTCCGACGTGTCCACGTACGCGACCGTCGCCGGGCTGGGCATGGCGCCCAGTCCCACGACCGGCCTGTGCGCCGGAAGCCTCAGCATGCCTACTCCGATCCCGTACATGTCCACTTCGATGGCCACGTTCGTCGGGAATGCGACCAATCTGGGCAAGAGCTCGTCCGTCTCATACCTGGACATCTCCAATATGACCTGCGGCTCTCTGAACTCCGCGGGTGCTGGTCTGAACTCCGGTTACGCTAACGGGAACTCGAACGCGAGGGACGCAAAGAACGGTGTGACCATGCCTTTTCCTGGTATCGCCAACGGCACCGGTTACATGCAAAAGGGACAGGAAGCCGGTCTGCCGAAAAAGTTTCAAAACGACGGTATGTTCAACGCTTATCAGCCGTGGGTGATAAAGACGTATGGTGATTTAGCGAAGACGAAGACGATCACGATTAAGAAGTACGCGCGTATATTGAGAACGCTCAGGGGCGAGGAAGTGAACAGTGCCGAGAACAGCAAGTTCCGGTTCTGGGTGAAGAGCAAGGGGTTCCACATCGGCCAGCCGGAAGGATACGACGCGAAACCGGCGGACAGGATTATCGGACGTCACGCGGTGACGAGTCCCGGATTGGATCCGCCGCTCTACGTACCCACACAGCTGCCGCACAACAAGGTGAGTCTGTCTCCTCTTGGATTATCTTGCTTTTCGAGGATCTAGCTTCCGGCTGCAGCCGGACGGTTCGAGGAAACGTTTGAGGATAGACGGGATTGCTTGTTTGCTAGAGCTAATAGCTTGCAACGTTGAATGATACGAGGAAACGATACTATTTCCAATTTATTCGTTTCGTTTAACGTTTTGGAATTGCAAACTTCGCTGGAACGGAATTGCGTGCTTGTTCGTCGGAACGAACGAAGCACCTGCGATTCAAAATCGCGAGCCTCCTGCTTGGTAACCAAACGTTTTCGAAATGAACCGCGCTAAAAATACTTCATATTGAGTTCGCGCATTTGTCTGACGCCGCACGGGATATACTACTCTGACCGCGTGTAAACACACTCAAGCCTGTCTCGGTTCGGTTTCACGCCTAGACATCGTTTTTAAACTTCGCTTCGCGACTCACGATAAGCGCTATTAAAACCATAGTCACAAGTATTTTACAACGACACGTTTCTGTGAAATACGATTGAAATTTTGATGCGCATAGGAAACTTTGATTAACGACTAAAAAACTTGTAAATTTGGTTAAAGGAGATTCAATATCACTGGAAGTAGTGGTTTTAAAAGTTAGAAGCGTAAAGCCGACGGTATCCGAGCTCAGGTTTAACCGACTGATAACCGCGTATCTGGAAAATTCGCCGTAAAACCAGCGTCCCCGGAAACTGGCTCGTTGGAGCAGCTTCCAGGCCGGTTGGCCGTCGACCGCAGACGATTTCTTGGCGGATTCGCGCCGCCCGGCGAGGTTTACGGGCCGGGAGAATTTATCTGGCGGGTGAGTAGAGAAAAACCGCGAGAAATCTCGGGCACGGTTGCCAGGAGAATGGATCTCGACTACTGTCGGTGTGAGAAGGCAAGGATGAAAGAAGGGGTGCGACAGGGAAAAAGAAAAGGCGGTCGGATAAGGTGGCTGCTTAATTACGCGCAATTATGTGGATACTTTGCCAGCCTCCCGTTGGTCTCTCGTTTTAACGTCAATTTTCTTCGTAGAAACGATCAGATCATCTCGCGGTATACGGATTTTATAATCCAGGAACAGAACCTCGATCGTCTAAACTAATAAAGTGGTCGTATCGGTTTTTATTCGTCTACCAATTCAAGTTCTTATGCACGCGTCGTCTGCGGTCGCTTCTGTTAAATTTGATAACGCGTTTCTCGCACCGGGTGTTTCATTCCTACCGGTTCCGTAATAAACCTGAGAACGGGTTGAATCCGCTCACCGCCGCGACGGCTATGGCCTCTCCACGTAACGCGTTGCGCTTCCGCGATTTCTCGTCGAACTTTCGTTACAGCGCGGCGCGGCGCGATTACACTCGCCGCGAACCTCGACGAATTCCAGTAGGTACGCTGCAAACGGATAAGAACGCCGGAATGCGGCAAGATTGAAAGTTGCCGCGACGGGGGGATGGGGGCGGAAGTTGCAACGAGCGAGGTCGATAGCAGATTTGATGCCGAACCCCGGTGATCGATACTTCTGCCGTGGGTGGCTGAGGTTTTTCACGTTTCCGTAAGATTTCTCAAGTTCTCCGTAGAATTTCTTAACGAAGTTTCACATTAATTAACCGTGCCTCTCTTTAAACACGAGCAGCAATTATATTTGTGTATTCGTTGGTCAGAGAATAAGTTAAATATTGAAGTCAAGATAGATGTGTTGTAAGTGTACGTCTCTCATCGAACGTGAGATAAGATTGCAGGTGTGAGAAACGGAGAAACGTCTGTTAGTAGGTATTAGGTATCGAGGAAATGGTCGAAAATTCAGGGAAAGATATTCCGAGCTTCGATGCTCGGAGCAATAATCTTGTACCGGGCCGTAACGTTTCCGGAGATAAAAATTTTGGATGTCTATTTTTTCTTCCATTTTTGTCGACTGGCCTAGATCTCCCGTACGCCGCCGGCTCCGATCCGGCTCACGGCAGTTTGCGACGCAACGCGCGGCGGCCTTCGATCCCGGCCTCTCGCGTAATGGCCCGTCCATTTCTCACGAGCAACGGAGCTCGTGCTCCCGCAAGTGGAACGCGGAGAATCTCGAACTCCCGATACCGCTTCGGCGCGCCGCGCGAAAAATTTCAGTCACGGGCCGTCTCTGATAAATAACCGATAATAAGTCGTACGCAGACCGGATCGACGATCGCGTATCTCTTGATCGAAATCGATTCCGCTCGAGCCAGACTGCCATTGTTATCGAAATCGCCCGATCGTTCCCCTGTGCACACTTCCTGTGTAACTGGATTTCTCTTTTGCTCAGGTTTTTCCTTCGAACTCGTGGAATACTCTCAGGATTTTCCCAGGCGAAATAAATAATTAATTCTTGGAAACGCGACTAGTTCGTACGTCGTTTCACGAACGTATTTTGCTCCTCGGAATTTGATGTGTCGATTTTCGTTTGAACGTATCGGCGAGATTCAGCGCGAGAAGCAAACGAGCGAACGAGCGTCTTCCCGAGGCTTTGAGGCTGTATAACCGAGCTGGCGCGTTCTCGGTCTGAGAGCACACAGGGAGAGCGAGAGAGAAAAAGATAGATGGAGAGAGAGAGAGAGAGAGAGCGGCGGCAGAAAGGCAGAGCGCGGCTCGAAGCTATCATTAACGACGCCGCGACGCTTCGCAGCCCAGGAAGCTCTCTCGGATTTACGCCTCTGACGTCCGCGGCGGCGTAAGCGTGGGATTCCAGGCGCGGAAGTAACGAGTGGGAGAGGGAGAAACGGAGGTAGCGGCGGATGAAGAGAGAGAGAGAGATTGGCCCCGCTTCCCACGGAAGGAAGAGAAGCAGAGCAGGCGCATAAAGTTGCCCGGTTCCCTCGTTTATCCGATCCGGATTCAGTTCCGCGTGCTAGTCGTGCTAGGCGGAGATCGATCTGAAGGGAGCCAGCCGTCTTCCATTCGATTCCCGATGCTTTCCACGATTTCTTCTCCCCTTTTCTTGTCCACGGATCCCAGATACGTCTCGAATTTCCAACAGTTTTCGCTTTGGTTCGTTGCTGCTTTCAGTTTACAAGTAATTACAGTCGCTAGGCTAGCCAGTGCCTAATGACGTCTCGCACGAGCTTCAAATATTTCACGTCGTTGTCCCCCGTATCGATGCGTTCGTCGACGATATTTCCCAATTGCATTTTATTTTCTTACTCGCCTGCAGACACACACGCAGTGCTCGTTTTCCTTTATTTTCCCGTGCTCACGGCGCGTAACGACGACGGCGCTCGAACCCGGTGCTCCGTAAAATATCTCTTCGTCACGATAGTCATTTTTCACGGTTGACCGTCGTCGAGGGCCGCGAGAGATAACAGCGGCTCACCTCTCCGTTCTGGTTCTCCTTCGGGCCGGCGCGCGCTTCTCGTTCTCTCTCTCGTTGGGTGGCAGAAGAGTAGGTCTGACCAGCACGGTCATTAGTCACTTTCCGAAGCAGAGGCACAGACAGGCTGCACCGCGCCGCGCCGCCGTATCCGTTCGCCGCCTTTCTTTCTCTCTCCCGTCTATTCTCGTCTCGCTCGCCTCGCCGCTCTCTGCCTTCTACGGAGCACGGAGCCCGTTCCCTCGGCCACCCTCAGTGACGGTTGCGAGACGCGGATCCAGTTGATTCGAGGAACGCGCTCTTGCTCGAGCCCGGGTCAGACTGTCGGGTATTTCGTATTTTTCTACTGAATGAATCAATAAGAATCTTCATACGAAAGAAACTCGCATTAAAACGCGTTCGTTAAAATACAAGAATGCATTCGTTGAACAAGATTCATGCGAAGTATCTGCCAATGGAATCGTATGACGATTCAAAAGTAAGATCGTAGCAATAGCACGATCCGACGGACAAGCTCGTAGTTGAAATCTGTAAAATTCACGGGCGACGGTCGGGCGAAGGAAAACGAGAAAAAGCCAACAACGTTCCAGGCCGGCGGCGCTATCAACAAACTCGGATCACCAATTAATCCTTTCTAGCGGGGCTGCTCTGCGGAGCAATTTCCCCGCGGAGATATCATCGCGGGGGTACGCGCACGTCGCTGGAAATTGTTCGAGAACTCGCCCACCGCCCACCCGCGCGTCTTCCCTTCGGTCGGAGCAGTTAGTCTGCCTCTCGGTTCCGCCTGTGGTTTCGCCCGCCCTTATATATCGGTCGCTCCCTCGGAGAAATTCTGCCGACGCTCCTGCCGCCTCGTGCTAAGCCTCTCGCGCGTCTATCTTGATTGAGAGAGCGAGGAACGACGACGGTGCCGGTTGCGGCGCAGCCTGTGCCAGAACGACGGTGGAACGGCTGGCTGGAGCGGGCGCGAGCGGGGGAAACGGAATGGAACGGTGTGGTGAGTCGGTCGTGGGTTGGGGAACCCGACGCCGTTCTCCGGGGCGGCGCGCGGCGAGGGACGGGAAACGTTCTCTCTGGGAGACCCGTGATCCGGAGCGAGAGAGCGTTTATCGTGCCTTCCGTGAACACGACCGGCACCGGGGTACACGCCGGGAGGGGAGGGTTGTCATTGATCGTCCCGACTGCGGCTCACGAGCCGCCAAAGGTCCCGTACAAGTACGGGCCCGTGAACGGCCGGTCTACTCTACTCTCCACATACACTGCCCCTCAAAAGTATCTGCACATCTGACGTCATCGAAATCATTATTCTTTAACGATGTTCATTATCGAATCTTCTTACCTATGAGTATTTAATGCAACAGTGATCTCTAGTATTACCGAAATGATTTGGGAAACGTTTATAGGAAATGTTAGAAATGGATTGATTCTGAAATAATTATTGTTATTAATAATTTGTTTAATGAAATGTTGGTAAAATATATCTTCTAGAACAGTTTGAAATGAAAACTGATTAAAATTCGTTCATCGGTGGCAAGTGTTCACGTTCACGTACTTTTGAGCTGCAGTGTACGTGATCCCGCGTACCGGCGTGTATCTCTCTAACCACGCACGCGTTTCCACGACTCGGTGCGGTGTGCACAGTCGAAATGCACGCTCTGTTGCACTTAAAAAG